CACGAACCTGGTCCAGAGAAGAGAAGCGATCAGGTATGAGTTCGTACTTCTTTTTAGCGGCGTTGATCTTGTCGGCAACGGAGATTACAGGATCCGACGATGATGGTCCAGTAGAAGACGACGGCGATTTGCTTTTAAAACTCTTTTTGCTTCCAAACCTCTTTAGTAAATTCATCTTCTTCGAGATGGAAATTAGGAATTTTCCAGGAAATTTGATAGAGATAGATTTTTTTCTTCTGCTCCTACTCCTTTGGTCCAATATTTGATGTTGTTGGCTACTCATTAAGACACTCAATAATATAATAATATAAACAAACTATTTCTTGCTTCACTGTTTTTCTAATTTATTTATTTTTGTTTTACGCGGCAATAATTATTATCTTTTGTTTTTTTTTGGTCAACTACTGTACCTTCCTTTTTTATACGCGGCCAGATAGGCTTTCATGTTTAATACAACCTACATGATTTACAGAAACCTAGAAATTAAAACGACATATACACACTGAAGATTTTATGAGATGGGCCTATAAATATACTATCGAAAAAAGAGAATGACTTTGCTTTCAAGATGGAATTTGAAAAGAACAAAGAAAGACTTTGTGGTCAAGATGGAATTAGATGCTCTTTGTGCTTATCTCAATTGATAAGTTTAATCTTTCTTTATTTGTGGACTCCACCTGTTTCTTAAAGCTTACTTTTTACCCTAATTAAAAACAAAACAAAAAAACTAATAGCCCATAAGGCCATAACGTACATAAAAGGCCCAATTCAATATTGTCCTTCCGGACTGATATTTACGTCATCTCAAGTTTACTCAAATTTTCATGAACGTTTAGTTATCACAATAACGTAAGTTTAAATCTGATTCATACGAGACAATAATAGCATAAGGTTTACATATATAACTAGATCAAAACAGTCCTTTTTTTTTGTTAATGGTTTTGTATATTGCCCCATAAATCACCACCGAATTTTAAAAAATCGGTTGCATATAGTGGTTAATTAGATCAAACAATTATATGCAACCGATCGAGGTTTAAAAGACTTGTGTGGTCTTGAGTTTCGGGTACATGTTAGAATCTAATCTTGGCTCCACACAAGCCAATAGAGGCTTAGCCATGAACATGTTTTCTTTCGACTCGACTAGCTCGACTTTGTCCAACGTATCTGGAGGAATGGTCCAGTCGAACCCTTGAAGAAGCCTACTCAACAACGTAACAATCATAAAGGTCCCAAGCTTAGCTCCAACGCAGCCTCGCCTACCGGTTCCAAATGAAACAAGTCGTAAGTCTGGCTCGGTTAACACCACTTTATTGCCGGTTAGGTGGCGTTCGGGCTTGTACATGAGTGGTTCGTCCCATGTCTTAGGGTTTCGACCAACACCAGGACGACTCACTAGAATATGACTGCCTGTGACATTACACAATCATCTTTAATATCTTCAAATGATTAAAAAGTACAAATAGTATCAATAAAGAAAAGGTAGAAAATTTACTAATAAGAAAATTCACATGTCATTATGTATTTATTTTGGGGAAATTCCATAAAAATACATCAATTAAATTTTTATTACCAGTTAATACAAAATTCTGTTTCATTCCAAAACCATTCAGAACCTAGGTTTTTAGAAGTCCTAATTTTGAATAAATATAGGGAGTTTATGAATAAATGCCTCTAACAAATGCTGCATTTGTTAATGAAAGAAAA